CACTGAATTTGGGACGTGCAACCATCATCATCTGTGACTGATTTGATGTAGTTTTAATTTAAATGTCCTTTTGCACCACACACACTGGACATTACCACACTGATGTCTCACACACAGACAGTGAATCCTTATATCTCTGTATAATTCAGCTGCTCCGTAGCTTAAATTACAACTAATCCAGTTGTTTTTACAGGTTGAAATAGCTTTAAAGGACTAATTCAACTCACATAAAACACATTTGCAATGCCAATACAGTGCAGTACAATTGCAATGTTATTACAATTAATTAAAGTCTAAAAATAGGACAGTACACATGGCAAACACACACAGCCTAAATGTCATGCCTGATTACTTATAAACTGTAAATATCTTATTTGGATCACAGTTATGCACTTGGTCTGTGGTTTCTAAGAGCCACATTGTGATATATCCCAGCATTTAAACTCAGAAATAATGAAATGAAATGAAATGAATGAATGAATGAAAAATACTTTATTTATCCCAGAAGGGAAATTCAATTATTTCAATTAAATTCAATTATCAAATACGGCTTAAGCAAGAAGCATGCAATCAGTTTATGGCCAGTGATGGCTGTATTTGGGGGGACACTGGTACCGTGGTGCAAATGAACTTTGCTGTTTGGGTACTGTGGTATTATTTAATACATTTTCCTGCTATTTATAGAAAAATCTACTGGCTGATACAGGTGAGCATCAGAAGATTTCCCTTGTAATTTAAATCTTTTATTTATTTACTTACTTATCTACTCACTAAAAGCATGCTGAGCCGAGGTGCATCTATGAGTTCCTGTTGACCATCCAGCCCCCACCCCTCGGGGTTCCCAGGCTGCGGCCCGCGGCCCCCCGGCCCTCTGTCTCCGGCCCTGGCTGCAGCGACGCGCCGGTCAGTTCAGCTCTGTGTCACACGGGGCGCCCGCTCCTCCGCTGCTCGGTTTGTTTTCCGGGTGATGCTGCTCTTCTCTTCAAAGCAGAGGAAAGTCGGGGGCTCATGTGTCAACATCCAGGGTTTCCCCGGGGAGGCGTAGCGTTAACGTTATTCCAAAAAAACCTGATGTTCCTTTGAAGAGGCTTTTTATTTTTCCTTTCTCGTTCCTCATCCTCGGCGGCGGCGGTTCGTCGGACTGCGAGCGCCACAAGACGATCTTCGGCTCCCGCTGCTTTGACGTTAGCTAACGTTATTTTAAAGGATGACAGAGTACAAAGTGCGAATAGCGTCTCCAATCATTTAATAATATCTGGGGACCTGTTAGCCTAGCCAGCTAGCCTGGTACTTCGATTAGAGCAAGGGAACACGGCGACACACACTGCTGACATGATGTTTCCTCAATCAAGGCACTCGGTAAGTTGGCTAGTTGAACTTGTCCCGGGTGGAAACTGAGCGAGTGAGCAGGCTGAGCTAACGCTAGCTAGCAGCACACAGCTGACACATAGCGCTGCTGCTGCTGCTGCTGCTGCTGCGGGTAGCTGTCAGCTTCTCACAATGCCAGACCTCCCTGCATCTCCCCACCGCCTCATATATCCATTATAGGGCACAGACGACGGCAGCTGACAACTTAAAATCAACGTAAATAGCAGCTACGACACTTATTTGCGTCTGTTCGGCTAAAAACACAGCCCGTCGTTAGCTAGCATAACTCAAAACAGCTAATTGAAGTTGATGCTGGGCTCAGAGGGAAGAAGTTGGTGTGCTGCTCTGCCTTATTTGCCCATTTTCTACTGAAAACACACCAAGTTGCTGACATTTAAACGTACATTAGTTTAAAACAAATACATTTTGGACACCCAGTGGAAAAAGATATCACTAAAATGGTTTGTTTTTTTGTCACCCATAAGCGACGTTTGGGAAACGACTGTGGGTGTTTTCAAAGCTAAATGAGGGGAGTGAGTGCTCATTAAGACATAATTAACACTACCTACACTGCCGATTACTGTAATGGTCAACTAATGCCCAACTAATTGTATTACATCGTGATTGTAAACAATGCCATAGCTTTTAAAAATAATGCAAACACTCCCACATTAGTGGATCAATCATCACTAATCATGGATACCTGGTGGAGGAAAAAAATGCAATTAGCTTAAAAATTCAAACTTCAGTGGTTCAGGTTTTTGTAATATCTTGAGTTTTGGAACTTTTTGTATCATGAGACATTGTGATTGAGATTTTCTGAAATTGTATTCACCGCATGACTAATGGAGGAAACAAGGGTCACATTGATCTAAGGTAACAGCTGATTTCTTCCACTGTTATCATGATGTATTAATTTATGACCGGCTGACAAACTGCCTTTAGACAAACACCAAGAGCCTAACGTGACCCTTGCATCCACTGAAGCAAACACTCACACTGTGGTCACATCAGGTCACAGTAAGCCGGTGTAGTGTTCCTGTGTTCACTGAATTCAATCAGATATTCAATAGGTTTTCTCTTAAAGGTTCATCAAACAACTGTTTTTTAAATTATTTGATCAGTTTGTCAGTAAATGATCAATCAGTTAACCTTTTAGCTTCACAAATGTCCCCCAGAGCCCTTCTTCAGAACACTTGAGAATAAAATATAACAGAGCAGCGACATTTTCAGAAGCAGGAAGAGGTGAATAATTAGATTTTTTTCCCCCTTAAGTGCCAAAATAGTTGATTAATAGTCTTTGGTTCAAACAGCTGATCGACTAATTGTTTCACCTCCACGTGTGTCAAGTGGTCGTCTTTTGTTATGCACACGCTGTTATTACACAATTTGAAGGAACACAATGCTTTCTGTAATTGAACCTCAGACCTCCACTTTGATAATCAAATCACTTTTACCTTTCTCTGGGGGATGTAGAAATATTAAGCAACTAAATTACAACAATCGTGTCTCCTAACTGATGTGTTTGGTGCCATTTTTTTTTTTTTTAGACTCCACGTCTCAGTTACGTGACAAATACATTTCAGTGACCAACATATCCAACCTTCATGTCAGTAACTGTCATGAACCTTCAGTCTGTCAGTGTCCTAACCTGCAGAGGATCAACTTTCACTAAAGCGGTGACCACAGCCTCTCTGGTGCAGCACATAGAGATGGAAATGTGTTCTCTTACTGTAAATGTGACAAGAGCCCACAAGTTAATAGGATTTATGTTGGGTTAGAAGAAGGCCAGGTTGGGGTCGTTGTAGGTCAGCCATTGTCCTGCATAGAGATCATTGTGAAGACAGTATCCTCCACAAACTGGCAGGAGGTTTGGGAGTTGATTTTCCGATCACACTGTTCGCCCTCCTCCTCCTCCTCCTCCTCCTCCTTCTTCTTCTTCTTTGAGTTGAAAATTGTGCCTCGTGGTCCGTGAACAGTCACTCATTTCATCTACGTCTCAGCCTTTATGACCTCCTACTACCTTACTTATTACCTGACTCCACACTTCGGGTGCAGTTCTGGAAAGTGGTGGCAATGGAGAAAAAGGGTTTCATGGTTACTTGCTTCATGTTGACATTTTCTCATATCTTTTGCAGATAATATATATTCCCAATAATTCTATATAAATAGCATTTTAAAGCATCCGTTAAATCTCTCTTTTTTTTTTTTACCTAAAGTAGGAAGCTTCCTGATTAATACGCACACTTTTAATATCAAAGTTTATTTACTTTAGTCCCTCGTAATCCCTCATGACATTAATACATGTTACCTAAAAATGATTAAATCCAATAAATATGGACGTTTATGCTATTTGGAGTTGAAAAATGTGCATAGAAATGATAAGAATGGAATATTGACTTGCCTAATAACTGTACATGCAGTGCAGATTGTTCCAGCTTTTGCTTTTTTTCATTACTCACTTAATTGTATGGTTGCTTAAGCCTGCCTCATTTTTCAGTACCACACAGTTGCTCTGAAGATTTCATTAATTCCCACCACTTTCCCGTCATTGGGTTAATGAAAAGCCCAGTTTCAGCACCACTGTTGCACTTCGCCGCACGCGTTGTGTTTTGAACGCGGAGCTCCGACGTCTTTGTACCCGCATGACTCCATCTTCTCTGAGTCCCGTAATCCAGCTGGAAACCTCTTGCCCTTGTGCCACTTATTTAGAGAGTAATGAGGTTTAGGGAACCAGATAAACCCTGGATTACAGCTTTGGACTGATGGTTTAAGTGTAGTCTATACATAACCAGACTTCTAATGCAGCCTCTAAATACCTCTCGCATATGGTCAGCATGGGCTCACTTAGCCTTCTGTAAACACAATTCCTCAATCAACACACTTTGTGGTTGTGGAAGAGCTGAGCGGGCGTTTCTGCGCTGACAGATGTTTAATTTGAGTTTCTTTAAGACAGCTGTGGAGGTCCTTGGAGCTCCGGTTGATAGCGGCGTGCTATTCGTCAAACACGCCGTCTCCTCCTTTATCTCATCTTCTGCTGTGGACTCAGACGTGAGGCTCAGTTCAGGCCGACCTTCATTTTGGCGATCCTCTCAAAGGGTTAATCTCAGAGGTCAAACTGCTGTTTCTAAACAAACCCAAATGCACTTTCATTAAAGCGCACACACTCAGCAGCATACTTGTAGGACTGTCCCGCGATCTGCAAAGGATGTTATTATTATTCTCGAGCTGCAAAGGTTGCAGATCCAAGCTGCAGCCTGAAATGAGAGAACACATTTCTAGGTTGGATCTTTGGGAAATTAATTTAGGGCTCCGTGTGAATTTCTAAAAACTGATTATGTTGCTCTGGTTCGCAGGCGTCCTCTCAGTCCAGTCAACCTCTCAAGTTCACCACTTCTGATTCCTGTGACCGCATTAAGGATGAGTTCCAGTTCCTCCAAGCACAGTACCACAGGTACGCAACAACACAACCCGACACACGCTCAATATAATCTCACACGGAAACGTAGTTTATTTATTATGGGAAGTGAAACTGACTGAGCGGAAATAGCTCTATTCAAGGCTTTATTATTCAGAAGTACATGTCATTTTGAGCAGGGCATTGAGGGTTTTTTTCCAATCTACACTTTGAGCTCAGTTTTTGTCACCTTCTGTCTTCTTGCCTTAACTTCGGTATGTCCTGGTTAAATTTTAAGATGATTTATTCATACATAGTACATCTTGCACCTTTATGTGCAGTGAGCCCTAAAACAGTTTGGCTTAACATGGGAATGAAAACATTGGTTATAATTACTGGCTCAAATAAACGCACTGTTGCAACCCAGAAAAAAATAATTAATAGCATTTATTTTTATTCACTGGTATTAGCATGAGAGCATGCACACAAATAGTCTGACATTTTGGGAAATAGGCTCATTCTCCTTTTTGCTGGCACCTAGATGAGAGGACAAGTGGCACACTCATGCCCAAACCTATCAGCTACAGTAATAGTAGTAATAATAATAAAGGGCTTTACAGCAAACAGAAACATACAATAAAATACAGCCATGTGAAAGGGTGAAAGAGGAATCAAAGTAAAAAGCAATAGTCAATTTAAAAAACTTGATAAAGCAATAAGGTTAAAAAAAATCTTCATCTTAAACCTAGATTGGAGCAGTGCAAGACTCAAGTGATATGTCAAGATGAAAATGTATTAGAAAGCCTTTTGACATAAACAAGTCTTCAAAAGTGATTTAAAAGCAGACGTAGCAGTGGAGCAGGTAACGCTCGTGCTGCAAAAACAGCCATAACCTGTCAGGACGTGGATGTGGGACCTCTGAGGGTCTTCTAGGGCGTCTGGCTCCAGGACATCGGATCTTTTGGGGGCCTCTGTGAATCAGGCTTGTTCTGGTGCATCCCTCAGATGCTTGATGGGATTGGGATTTGGGGAGTTTGGAGGCTGCGAGAACATCTTGGGCTCTCTTGACCCATTCTTGAGCAGTCTTTTGGGTGTAGCTGGGCGTAGAACTGAGGGATGCTGCTGCATTCATGAGTGTTGTTGCCATTCGGTGGGGATTTGATTGGTCTGAAACAATAACTAGATGTGTGGTATTTGCCAAAGTAACCTCTACGTGAATATCAGGGCCTAAAGTTTAGCTGCAGAAGTTGGGATTTTAATAAGATACCCAATGTTTTTCCCCTTTACTTGTCAGTGGTTTTAATGTTGTGGCTGATTTGTGAATATTCTAAATATGCAGCTTGATGTAGCAGGTGATCAGCTTAGCTTAGCATAAAGACGACAAATTGTAAAATAAGAGTTATTCCCCAAATGTCAAACTGTTCCTTGACATTTCCTTTCAGCCTGACCTGTATTGTTTATGTCAATATAATGAACATTTCTGTTCTTCCTGCCCAGTTTGAAGTTGGAATGTGATAAACTGGCCTCTGAAAAGTCGGAGATGCAGCGTCACTATATCATGGTGAGTGTGGCTTTGACTCTCGTAAGTGACACGTAGCTGTTTGTTCTCTCATTATATACCTTAGTGTTGTAATATCTGCCTAGAAATACATGTGCTCACCAGGAATATCTACTTTCTCTCTGTTTGTTGGTTAAGTTGGTGCATCATCATAATTTTGTGACTTCCTCAGGTTCACTCACTACATGATGACTTTTACAACTGATGGGATCAACTACAGATCACATGAAAATACAAATATCCAACATTCTCAACACATTTTCCACTTAGAATATAAAACGCACAATGTAAGAAACTATTCCAATCCAGAAGGAAAAAAGCGACAGTAAGTTGAGGTTTGTTGATTCTAATTCTTGTCTTTTTCATCCTCTGTTTATTTCAGTACTATGAAATGTCCTACGGGCTGAACATTGAAATGCACAAACAGGTAATCCATGTCTCCTTATCCATCCTTCTTGTGGAAGCCCAGGTTTGGCAGCTTAAAAGTCTGACCTTACTTCTTTTTTTTCTTTTATAGGCTGAAATAGTGAAGAGACTGAATGGGATCTGTGCTCAGGTGCTGCCTTACCTGTCACAGGAGGTAATGACGGCCACGACTTACAGTAGAGGGTTGGGGTTAGAAATGTTCCACTGCATGTCTTTACTACATGTCACTTCTCATATCTAAAAAAAAAGGCAGTAAAAGATTTCATCTACATGCTGTTTATATCCTGAAAGGCTTCAGCTTTTCATTCTTTCAATCGTATTATAACCAGAAAATGTCACTGTTTCTGGCCCGTCTCATCACTTATCACTATGCTGCGTGTTTTCAGCCACGTCAAAACACTTACAAACTCGTGTGTGACGTCTTTGTTTCAGCATCAACAGCAAGTCATGGGCGCCATAGAGAGAGCCAAGCAGGTCACACCTCCTGAGATGAACTCCATCATACGGGTGAGCCGCACCACTCAGCTTGTAGTGCTGCGTTGTTGGACCAGATGTTGTTTTGTGATGTTCTGGCTTCGTCACAGAAACAGTCTGTCATCGTTCTGACCAGTGTGTCAGCGTCCACAGGACACGTGACCAGTTTGTTCAGGTCACAGTCTTTAGACAAACACTCTCCTGAAGAAGTAAATTCATCTCTGTCTACCTGTGTTTAATGCAGATTTTTAGTGGTGGAAGCCACTGAGTGTATTTACTCAAATGTTCTACATAGTTTTGAGGTACTTGTACTTCTATTTTCGGCTACTTTATACTCCTACTCTAGTACGTTTCAGAGAGGAGTATTATACTTTCTACCGCACTTTGTTTATTTAAAAGCTTTAGTCACTTTTAAACTGAAGATTTTACACAAAGGATAACATAGCAGTCGTTTAACACACAACACATCGTTAAAGATTAAACTGGTGGTTTTCCTTTTTTTTGTTGTTTTTTTTGGCCTCTGACGTTTTACAAATGTGTAATCAGGCTCACGTTTCAGATGTCTGAGTTGTTAACAGCTCCACCTAGTCATGATTTTTACCTTTAAACTTCATCACTTTCTTTTAATAGATGCTTAAATGATCCAAAACGTCACCAAACATCTAAGATTATAAAAGCAGTCCAAAAAGTTTAAACTAATTTGGAGATGAGAACTTAGTTGTTTCTTCGTCCTTTAGTCATTTCTTGACCTCTCAGCATATTCTGCTGTCCTTACATACAAAACAGCGCACGACAGTCATTATGCTGCTTTTACCCACTGATGCTTCACTATTAGGAAGAATTGGAGCGATGTCATATGTAATATATCAGTCACAAGGACAAAACCAGTACTTTTACTTGAATCAACTACATTTTGCTGTTAATACCATTTTTGTTGGACTTTTACTTGCGATATCTTTTTGTTTTTTTATGTTGATGCTCTGATACTTTACCTGAAGTAAAGGATTTGAACAATTCTTCCATTACTGTCACATATTTAATGATTTATTGATAACTTTATTTGTCAGTTCTGCTTCAGCGTTGGGTTGAACCAAGAGAAGAAATGTTTCGCTTTTTCCTTCTGCAAATATAGAGAGGAAATAAAAATATAAACATAAATCTGTATTGTGTACAATAACAAGAATTTACTCCCCAACAGAGACGCTGCGTATCACAATCTATAGTTCACCATCGTCTACTGACTTTTTTCTGTTTGTACGAATGACAAACTCAATCTTACGACATCTGTGTCTTCACCGTTCATGTGTTTGCAGCAACAGCTCCAGGTGCAACACCTGTCCCAGCTCCAGGGCCTGGCCCTGCCTGTGACCCCGCTGCCCCTGGGCCTCACCCCACCCACCCTGCCCGCCGTCTCCTCCAGCTCCGGCCTGCTCTCCCTCTCCTCCATCCTGGCCAACTACTCCCACGGCCAGCCCCAGGTGGTGAAGGAGGACAAGGCCAGGGACGCCGCAGAGAGGGCGCCCAGAGGGGAGGACGGGGACAAGTCAGACTAGCGCAGACCCAAGGAGGAGGTTTGGAAGGAGGGTGGCATGGGGGGGGTGGGGAGGGGGGTGTCGTAAGTTTTGAAAAAAGAAAGGTTAAACTGTACCTGTAAATGGAGATTGATGTAAGTCTGGCTGCCTGTCTGCTGAGTGTCGATGTAGAAGAGTAACTGCAGGGATGATGACGAGCAAAGAGGACGGAGCTGAAACTTTTTTTGGATGTGCAGAGGATGAAACTCCTGAATGGCTGAGCGTTCAATGTTCTTATTATTTAGTGGTAATAGACTCGGTTCAGGCTTCTAGACTTTAAATAGATGCTTTTTTAGTGTAAGCCGTTGTTGTTAGGCTTAACCAAGATAAATGTTTTCCCATTTGGAGAGAGAGAGAGAGAGAGAGCTGAGGATGAAACCTGACAGCAGTCTCCTGTACATGGATCTGCCTCTCACAGATTTATTTTTCTTACTTCTTTTTGTTTTCAGATCTTTTTTATTTTCTCTGTAGTCCCTCTGATTGTTTCTTGCTGGCTGTTGTCTGCCAGTCACAATAAGCAGTTTTAACAACAGTTCCCTGTAACTTCTCCCCCCTCACACTTATGTTCTACAGTAACTCCATCAGCTTTTGTTTTTTTCCAAAATGGAAAATGTTGACTGGAGCTGTTTGGTCAGTAAAACCATCAATTCATGCTTTTGGAGCCAAAATACACCTGATGCCAAGTGTAATGTTTTAAAGGGACGTTTCACTTGCCGGGTGCATTGAAGCCCTTCGATTACAAACCACCTGATTTGTCACAGTTTTTTGCGTTTATGACCAACCACTGGATGCATTACCTGAGCTGCGTACCTCAGTTTCAGATCAATGGGATTTAATTCCATTAAAACTCTATAGTTTGTACAAATGGTAAGATGCCCAGCTTGGGAGTTAATTTGTGTTTCGTAGGCCTAGCTACTGCTGCTACGTGCGCTACATTGGATGGACCATGACTCGTCTTTTAAATGACAAGAATTAAAGGTTTTGGGGAAAAAAAGAGAAAAAAAAAAAGGAAAAAAAAGATTTTATTTTGACATGTTTTCGTGAAGTAAGACAGGCTGTAATTAGACCTTAAGAGGTGTCTGCGTGTTTGAGTGAATGTGACTGGAAAGAAGAAAACACTTGTTTAATTTAACTTTTATTTTCTTTCTTTAAGCACCTTTTGTATTTTCCTCATCACCCCGCCCTCCCCCCCCCCCCCCCGCCTTCCCCTCGCCGGTCCGCTCTGAAACAAAACTTGAACAGGATCTAAATTTCAGAAGCAGGTGGTTTGTGAAGACTGTATTTCTGTGAGTTATCAGAGCTCTTCAGTTGATACCGAGACTGTATCAAGCACCTGTCTTTACCTGGTTTAGTAGATTTCTGTGGCTACAAGTGGAAGATGCTCGCCTCTACCAATTGTTTTGATGAAGAATGTGTCCTGGGTGAGTTGCTAAAGCTCTCAAGCGCCCCAGCAGAAAACATTTTTATAAAGTTATCACGTAAGGGAAGAAATTATTGTCACCATTTGCAAAAAAAAAATATGTAAGCTGTGTCCTACCACACACTGATTCTATTCATCTGGGTGGTATATATTTATTGGAGGTGGTATACAAGAAGTAAAAGTGCTGTTCTAATAGGATTAACTTCTTTTTTTTCTAAGCCCTCTCACCATGATCTGTTTTTTTCCACCTGTGAGCAGCTTTCATGTTACTTTTGTGCATTGCATTGTGGGACAGCAGTGTCTGCCATACGACTAGCTTAAAAAATCTACACTTAAATCTGAATTATGGTGAGTCTGAGCATGCATTTGTGCTTTTTCCACATTATGACGGTATGGAGGCAGACACTGCATTTACATGGTGTACACCTGAACCATGTGGCTCACATCCAGTCCTATCTGTACATCCATGTTGTTATATTTAATAATATCAACATGCAGTTGCTCCACAAATGTGTCTGTAATTTAAATTATTCCCTACACCTATGACAAATTTGATTTAAAGGAATGTTAAGCAGCAACATCCGGATTATTTTTGTGCAGTGTGTGTGATTTCTGCATACAATCACTATATTTATTCAATATCTAAACATATGTAGATACATCTATGTTTAACGGCCTCAATTAAGGGTGTAGGATTTTGCTCTTTTTTTTTTTTTAGGCCAACTAAACTTTCCCTTGTTCAATGAAACTGGAGATCTCGGTAAAGATTTTAGTGTGAAAACAGGTTATGCACACAGTAGTAGGAAGAGCTGAGGACACTGGTTGAGCAAATGTAGAGTGTTTACACCAGAGAAGTGAAAAAATGAAGTATCCTCCAAACAGGCTGCTTGATTTCTGAGTGTTTTGTTGATGAACTCCCACAGCGTAGTGCACAAAGAAAGGGCAGCAACCGCTTATAGCTGCAAAAATGAATTGTTGAAAATAGTGAAAGAACTGCAGGAAATCTCAGAAAACAAAAGATAACTATTGTTATTATTATTATTTTTGGAAGCACACATGTTGCTTTCTCTTAAATGAAAGGTTTTCTGTGGAACATTCAGAAAACCGTTGCTTGAACTGCAAATGTTGTCGTTATTTTTCCCTGTTTTGTCCCGTCACCAATCCAACGCTCTGCCAGCGTTGACCCGAGTTTTCCCTCGACGTCGTTGGCCAGACGGGCTTCCCTACATAAAAGTTTTTGTGTTGGAGTCTGTGTTGTGCTGGGATCCAGTCCTTTGTTGATGTTACTCTACTTCCAAGCCAGCGTTAGCTAACGTTGCACACTGTAGGGGAGAGGAAGAGCAACACTGAGGCAACGCACTCAGGAGTGAGCGTAAACATCACATCCTTTGGATTTCCTCGGAAAATTCATCCCCCGGCCTCCGCGTAGAAATCAGTTTACGAGCTTTATAGGCAACCGGGGAGGGGCTTCTCTTTTTTTTTTTTTGCAATTTGTTGAGACATTAGTGAATAAAAAGTGATTATTAAATTGTAAATTGCTTCACATTCTTACACGTAGTGCCTTTAAATTGGCAGTTGCATTTAAAAGTCACTGTTGAACCGACATCCAGTGGGTTGGGTCACTATTGCATCACTTCTTCTTTCGTATTCAAACTGATTTCTTGTCTACCACCTGCAAAAACTGTACAGAATGCTTGTGTGGAAGTGGGACACAGCTCAGGTTTATGGTTGCTTTAATGTTGCTTGTTTGGGCAGCAGAGGGCAGCAGAGCTCCACAACTGATAAACAACATGAGGACAATAAGGCAGGTGGATAGGAAGCATCTAAAGAAGTCCATGCCAGTCCATCATGCTCACAATCTCATAATTGTTTGCGCTCTTTCATTTCCTGCCCGTGGGCCGACCCACAGGTGCACCGCAGACGTCCTCCCAACCGCAACGTGCTCCAGAGCTTTGGCAACCGACCTTTAATGTCTGAGCAAGTCCGAGATCTGAGCTTAAACCTTTCCTCTGTATTTTAATTTGAAAAGCACTTAAGTTGTGGCTCAACGCTCTTTGGTTTTTCTTCTTCCTGTCTGTGCTAGCGTCGGGGGAGCTGAAGAGTTTCCCTCCCTGGAGATCCTGACTTTAATATATGGAGCGCGACAGCAGATCACGCAGTCATTTGCACTCTTTATACTGACGTCAGTCTCTGTAGAAAAACCTCCTTTGGCAAAACTCAGACATGTGAATGGTATGTGTGTTTGTTTTGCTGTGAAGGGCCAATTTGTATACATATGAATATATCAATATACATATTTTTTAAAGCATTTTTGTATGTTTCAAAGCTGCTTTTTAACGTGTGTGTATCATGGAAGACTTTGGTGTTGTATGTGTGCATTACAAGCCTACAGTAAGAGAGGCACAATGTTGTATACCATGTCGTTTTTCCTGTTTTTTCTCTCCCATTCATTCTCTCAGTAGGCTGTAACACTTAACATTGTTTTCTAGGTTTGTAAATGTTTTATCCTTTTTTGTGCAAACGAAAAACAGTTAAATGTGTTTATGAACACGGTCTCATTTTAAAAAAAATACCTGGGGCAAAAAAAAACAAAACAAAAAAAAAAAAACAAAGATGTAAACAAGCAACTGTGTACTCTAATGAGAATGAATCAACCTTTTAGCAGTAAGGAAGCTTCTCTGGTGCCTTACAAATAAAAGATGTGATTGAGAGTGGTCATTGGTGTTTGGTTGGTAACATGTGGCGCATGTGGGGGGAAAAAAATCACAGTCTGAAGGACAATAACAACAAAATCACTCCAACACTCACTCGTTGAAGCTCAGAGTCATAAAATGTAACTTCTGATTGAAAATGTTTAGTCTGATCATTTTCTCCTCTACAGATCGACAGAAATGTTTGTGGCAGCGTGAGGTTTGACACTCCTCGTTCACTTATCTATGAGCTGGTGAGGAACATCTGACTCAAATTCCAGTCGGCTTAGTAACATCTCATGGGATGAGTTGGCATGTAGCAGTGACCTTGGCAGATTAAAGTTGCCCTAATCGGTACTTCTGTATAAAAAATGAACCAAATGGTTCAGTTTCATTGCACTTATCCTTCTTGTTTGCAGAAAAAAAAAAACCCTCCAAAATCCAATTATATGCTTCCGGCACAGCAAACAAAGTCGTCATTTTGCAGCTTAAATATTCAGTTACTGTCCTCAGGAGTTCAGACCCAGACAGCTAAATGTAAAGTAGCTGTTGTACTCAGATACATCAGGTGGCAAATGACTGCTGTTGTTGCTTTATAACAGCTGGATGTATCAATGGACAGCTCTTTGGTAACCTGCTTCAATGTACCGCAAGTGTCACGTAATTATGTTTGCAGTTGGTCGCTGAAATCGCGATTAATAGATCCTTTCACAGCAGCTGTTTTGATATAAAATAGTCGATAAACACGGTTGTTACTCATGACATTAATGGAGATTTTTGTTGAACCTTCAGCAGCCTTAATGTGATCATTAGCAATATTTTGTGCCAAAATGGCTGCTGTCAGAAACGTCTGGAGGATTCTATTAGGAGGAAAACTCAACCAGATTACAACATATTTTTGTAAATTCAAGGTTTCTCCAAAAATATGACCAAAATCAAAACAAAGTTAAACTAGCATCTCTCAACCATTCATCCCCTCTTAGCTCTTGGTACAGGAGTCTCAGAAGGACTTTATTGTGGTAGGGAGCAGGTCCAGTGAAAACTGCCAACAGCATAGCTGAGGCCGAGTGTCAAGGTGTCACAACAGCAAAATCACATTCCTAATACTGTGGAGGTCCTACTTGTGGCACCAAAACACACAAGTTAACACCACAGGTAACCCTGGGACCCATCAGGGTATGGACATGGAAACTCTACGGGTGTCCTGTGGTGGCTGACTCCGGGATGTTGGCAGTGGATCCTTTGGTTCTCCATGGATCAGACTTCTGTGGCACACCTCTTGGATGTCTTAACAGATTGGAATCTAGGTAAACGTCTTTAGCTCTTCGTCGTGGTCCTCAAGTCATTCCTGAGCAGTTTTCAGACTGTGGCAGGCACCTGCTGAGGGAGGCAGATGTTTATGTTTTCTAATTGCTGTGACAATACTTTTGAAGTGCATCTAGTACACTGGTACTTTTTAAAGTCTCCTTAGTCCGCATTAAAATGCAGCAGCACAGTTAGATCACTTACCAAAGCAACACGTGGCGACATAACGCTAAAGCCATGTCGGCCAATTGGAAGACCAAAAAAAAAAACCTGTTGCCGGTTCTGGTAAAGTATTAACAATCATATGTGTGGACTGATTCTGAAAACTCTGTTCTTCAATATAGTGCATGAGTAATCCTACATTTACATGCAAATGTGAACATTTCTGTTAGCGAGGTTAGCACCAGTACAGTTTTGGCTACGTCAAGAGGATGTCAACAGACAAAAACTTTTCTCTCCCGTCTATGCGTCAACAGTGCCAACTGAGTTTCTGAATATGTTCACTTTGGAAGGAGTTTTACAAAAAATTGAGTTTTTAGTGGGGCTGCAGGGTGGGGCAGTTGGTAGCACTGTTGCCTCGCAGCAAGAAGGTCGCCGGTTCGCGTCCCGGTGGGGGCACCGGAATCTTTCTGCGTGGAGTTTGCATGTTCTCCCCGTGCAGCGTGGGTTCTCTCTGGGTTCTCTGGCTTCCTCCCACACAGTCAAAAAACATGTTGAGGTTAATTGGTGATTCTAAATTGTCTGTAGGTGTGAATGTGAGTGTGCTTGGTTGTCTGTCTCTAAGTGTAGCCCTGTGATAGACTGGTGACCTGTCCAGGGTGTCCCCTGAGTCATCCGGGATAGACTCCAGCCCCCCACGACCCTAGTGAGGATGAAGCTACGATTGAAAAAAAAAAAACTCGCATGTACATGTGAACAAACCCTGAAATTAACTTAACAGTGGCTTTTGTTGAGTGCACCCCTAGATTTAATGGTTTTTTTTTAACAGTATAACTCTTGCACATTCTGCAGACTATCCAAAGTAAGCTGCTCTTTCTCTGGAAAAAGATTTAAAAGTGTCTACCCTGTGCAGGTTCTGTTGTATCGGGGTGGACAGTAAAATGTCAACAGTCAAATATCTCAAAACCTCAGAAAATGAGTCCAAGACAACCAGTCAGTAAAGGTAGCTGAGACCTGTTTTGTAATTCAAGTCATCTGATCCATTTTTAGTCGACGTGAATCTGTCGTCACAATCCTTCAGTGATAAGGATAATACTTACCCACCTACCGTGTGTGATAAACACTTCTCATGCGGCCCAACAGCCCCATTCCTCTGGCAGCGAGGAATCCCACAACCGTCGGCAGCAGGTTCAGACACGAACCCTGCGTCACCGTGTTGTACACCTTCTTCAATAAGAACACAGCAGAGAATAGCTCCGTGAAAACAAAAAAAATATCTAAAGCATTCCTCCGCTGACAGTCACCACAAACGATTCCTTCACATTTTCTTTCTTGTTGAAGTAAGAAGACGGACGCTGAAGCGTGCTGGCTAATATTTATGGAAAAACTGCACAAAAAAAACAAAACAAAATAACTGACAAGCTGAAGGAAAGAAATGATTACATTCTGTACAGTTTCACAATGGATTACACATAATGTTATAACAAGGGAAGGAAGAAGTCCATGAAGGTGTTTGTCAGACTTGAAATGGTCGTTCCAGAAGCACTGGAAACTGAAAATACTGAGTTTATGGGATGAATTTGTCCCTGTAATGTCTCTGTTTGTCCTTGGTCGTCCGTTTCCGATCTTTAAAAGCAAAGTTTGTCTCTATAAAAGAAAAACAGACAGAAAAAATGTGGCCAGCTCCGAAGCTTTCACTGTAACGTCACAGCAAATGAGTGGTAATAAATTCTTAAAAAGCTACACAATTTATTAGATAAAGGAGTTATAAACAAAATGTTAGCACTACACACTGTCTTGTAAGTATACTGTAGTCATTACGCTTCTTCTGAAGACGGTTGAGTATAGATATCTGCTGAGACAAAGTGTCAAGGTCAGGCAGATAGAATCGAGCTCCAGTGTAGATAAAATAGAAACAGTCTTATCTGACCGTAGCAAAGTGAGGAAAGAAAAAAAAAAAACCTTCAGCCTCCAAGGTTTTGTCTCTCCACTGAAGAACAGAAATAAAATAAAATAAAATCTCTGATTGTCTGATTGGGGTTTTTGAAATTTGACAGATCTCTTTAGCAGTCAGTCAGTTTTCAGCTCAACTCACAGCATGAATCGTTCCACACACATCTGCGCCTCTGCTAGGTGACAATTAAGAAAAACACAGGTACAAACTTTAAAAAAAACAACAACGACAAAAAAAACACCATAAATCAGGCATATCTTTGCAGCACACACCCAAACTTAAAGACACGCAGACGATGTGGCTTCTGTTCCAACAGGTTTTGGGAATCCCAACTTTTCAAAGCTGTAAAATGTTTGGGAAGTCGTCTCAGGATGGACTGCAACCGAGCGAGCGAGTGTGTTTCTTTTCTTTTTTGTTTTGTTCTGTACACGTCCTTTGGTAACGGAGCTGCTGTTGGAGAGTGTCGGCCCGGGTTAGTAGGAGTAGCTGTGGCGAGGAGCTCATACGGTTCCGGAGCAGTTGTAGTGGTTTTCCTGCCGTGAGTCTGAAGGCTGTGGCCTCGGTTTGCACTCCAGGTGTTCGACCTCCGCCGGTTCGGCTCGCGTGCAGCGCGGAGGACGCTGCTTGAAGAAATCAGACACGTATCGGACCTGAAGGAGCAGAAAGGAGTCAGAATTTCAAAACCGGACGTTTTAAGTGATAAAAAGAAGCCACGAATCACTACCACTATAACTCTGAGTAGAATAAAACAGAACTTTATTGATCCCTTTGCAGGCAAACTGTTGAGTACAGCAGGTTTGCAACCTCTGTGGAACTTATTTTATTGTTGGCATGATCCAATGTGGACTCACACAAATAACACTCGTAACCCCAGCCACTGCAGTGCAATACACCGTGGGCGTGCTTCTATTTTTAATAAACTGATCAGACAGGCTGTTAAAGGACCAATTAGAGGCTCCTCCTACACGTTCTGCCATCTTTTGTCACTCTGTGGCCTGATCCTACAGGAATCTGTACGACGCTGTGCCAACCGGCGTTCAGTGGAACATCCAGATGACCTTTTCTTAACTCGTTATGAGTCACCGCTAAATACAGGAATTCAACTTGGTGAAAACGTAGCCGCGGGATGTAAATAAATATGTATAAACTTCTGAGGCTAAACGGGCTGGAGGTTAACGGATATTAACCATTAACTTCTACAGCATTTTCTAGTTGTCCATAACTCCAGGTGAGCTACATTCCTAATTATATTTATTTTTTACTTTCAGTACGTACTGTAGCTGGGTCATTCCTTAAAAAAATTAATCAGTGCTTTTACCTGACCGCCTCAGAATCATGAGATTTCTGTTGTACAATAACTTTTTTCAGCATTTTTTGATCTCTAATAACCAAATATATAAAGGGATGATGGAAAAACACGTTAGCTGCTAAAAGAAAGCAACCGATTCACTTTTCTGTCCACTCCAGGTGTCACCACCTAAAGCCAAAATCTTTTTGTTGGTTCAACTTTGAGCATCAATATGATGAGTTTTTTATTATACTGTCAAAAGCAAAAGTGCACCAGTTTATTACCTATGAAACAGAGTAATAGAAGGAAGCCGTGGTGCACTGGATGTGTGTTTTTTACTGGAGAAAACTTT